CCGAAGAGCCCGTCTCCAGCTCAGCGAGCGTTTTCACTCGGACTTTCCTGTCCTACGCTTGCACTATGACAGAGGTGGTGAGTTATCCTCTTTCCTCTTGGCAGCCAACTGTGCTGAGCACGACATTGAGCAATCGTTTATGCTTCCGGCCTCTCCACAACAGAATGGGGATGCGGAGCTCCGCATTGGCCTGGTCATGGAGGTCGCCCGTACCTCCTTGATCCATGCGGCTGCCCCCCACTTTCTGTGGCTGTTTGCGGTTCGGTACGCTGCGCATCAGCTCAACCTCTGGCCCCGTGTCTCCTTGCCGGAGACCTCGCCCACACTACTGTGGACGGGGGAGGTTGGCGATGCGTCGCGTTTTCGAGTCTGGGTATCTCGAGCTTTTGTTCGCGATACGTCTGCGGACAAGCTCTCCTCCCGTGCTGTTCCCTGCGTCTTCCTCGGCTTTGTCCCGGACGCGTCTGGTTGGCAGTTTTACCACGCCACCTTGCGCCGAGTCTTGCCTCCTCAGGACGTCACTTTTGACGAGTCCGTCCCCTACTACCGACTCTTCCCCTACCGCACTGCCCCGCTCCCCCCCCCCCCCCCGCCTCTCTTCCTCGCGCCAGGTGCTGCTGTTGTAGACCCCCTCCCCCCTCAGGGTGCCGCTCCCTCAGGTGTGTCTCAGGTAGACCCGGTTGAGGTAGCTGTTGACTCTCGTCCTGCTGGGGGTGCTCAGCCTGGGGGTGCGGAGCCTGGGGGTGCGGAGGTTGGAGGTTCTGAGCCTGGGGGTGCTGAGCTTCTGGGTGCTGAGTAGCAGAGTCCGGAGTCTGGGGGTTCTCATTCTAGAGGTACTGAGCCTGGGAGTCCTACTCCTGGGAGAGCTCTCTCCTCAGAGCAGCTGCGTGAGTGGTACTTACAGTACTGCAGCCTCAGGAGAGGCACCTTTGGAGCCGGGCGTGCTACTGGGACTGGTGCTAGTACTTCTCCTCCTAGACGGGAGATCCCCTCCCGTGAGCGGATCCGTGAGTGGTACGAGCGGCGCTGCACTGTTCGGAGTGGCGCGCTCGTGTTGCGGACCCCGCTGCTGTTGGTGCTGCTGCTGGTGCTACGGACTCAGGTGTTGGAGCTGCTACTGGTGCTGAGGAACCGAGTGTTGGAGCTGCTGCTGGTGCTACGGACCCGTGCGTTGGAGCTACTGCTGGTGCTGAGGACCCGGGTGTTGGAGCTGCTGCTGGTGCTGTGGACCCGGGCGTTGGAGTTGCTACTGGTGCTAGAGACCCGGACGTTGGAGCTGCTGCTGGTGCTGAGGACCCTAGGGTGGGTGTCTCTACTTTTTCTGGTGTCGCTGCATGGCCGCAGCCGTACTTTGTTCCGCTCCTTTAGCAGGTTCTTGGTTTGCTCCCTCCTCCGTGTCCTCCTCTCTCCTTAGGGTGTCCTCCGTCTGCCCAGCTGTCGTCACGACTACCGTCTGCCTCCTCTCTCCCTGCTCCTGCTCTTTACACTGGTCTGACAGGAGGTCTTACTGAGCGTCGTGAGCCTGAGTCTCGTCCTGTGTCGCCTGTCCGTGCTGCTCTCACTGGTAGTCATGTCCAGCGTCAGCGTCTTTCTGCTGTCCAAGGCTCTCACCGGATGGCGCTTCGTCCGTCCACTGCTCCACAGCGTGTCCCACGGCCGTCTCCTCCTGCGTCCTCTCTTCCTGCTCTTGCTGACCCTGGGTCAGACTCCCTTCGTGCTGCGAGTCCTACTGTCACGGGTCTCCTGGCTATTGTTGTCACTGACCCTTCCTTTGAGTCCGTTGTTGCGTCTGCCTTAGTTGCTGAGCTTGTCGACTTTGCTGCCACCTGTCGTCTAGACTAAGCCGCTAGCCTAGTTGCTGGGTCTGAGTCTGTCTGTCGTCGTCCGTCGGGGGTGAGTGTGCTCTTGGCACTGACGTCCTTGAGGACAGGCAGGAGGAGTTTGAGTGCTTTGCTGCCGCTTTGCCCCATCTCGTGTCCATGCTTGTTGCCCCTGAGGGAGATCCGGATGCACCAGACATCCCGACCCCACGCTCTTACGTAGAAGCGATGGCCGGATCCTACTCCTCTCAGTGGCAGTCGGCCATGGACACAGAGATGGCTTCCTAGATGTCCATAGGCACCTACGTCGACGAGGTTCCCCCACCTGGGGTGAACATCGTCAGTGGCATGTGGATTTTAAGGGTAAAGCAGCCGCCGCGCTCTCCGCCTGTCTTCAAGGCGCGTTACGTTGCACGAGGCTTCATTCAGCGAGAGGGAGTTAACTTCTTCCAGACCTTCTCCCCGACCCCGAAGATGACCACTCTTTGGGTTCTGCTGCACGTCGCCGCTCAGCGTGACTACGAGCTCCACTCTCTTGACTTCAGCACTGCTTTCCTACAGAGCAGCCTGCACGAGGAGATCTGGCTGCGCCGTCCACCTGGCTTCACTGGGTCGTTCCCTCCTGGTACCCAGTGGAGCCTCCGACGGTCAGTATTTGGTCTCCGCCACGCGCCACGTGAGTGGCACGACACACTAAGGACTACACTTGCGGCTCTTGGGTTCGCGCCTTCTACTGCTCACCCGTCGCTGTTTCTACGCACCGGCACTTTACTGCCGCCTTTCTACATCCTCGTATACGTCGACGACTTGGTCTTTGCCACTGCTGACACTGCGGCACTCGCCCACGTGAAGTCGGAGCTGCAGAAGAGATACATGTGCACAGATCTGGGTGAACTGACAAGCTATCTTGGCTTGTGGATCACCCGGGAGAGAGCACGCCTCACCATCACCTTGACTTAGTCACACATGGTGCAGCAGGTCCTTCAGCGCTTCCGCTTCACGTACTCCTTGCCTCAGCCCACTCCTCTGCCTACCGGTCACTCGCTCTCAGCTCTGCCTTCGGATGAGTCCGTAGAGCCGAGTGGCCCGTATCTAGAGCTTGTGGGTTGCCTCATGTACCTGATGACCTGCACTCGACCTGACCTTGCATACCCTCTCAGCATTCTTGCACGCTATGTCGCTCCCGGCCGTCACCGGAAGGAGCACATGGATGAAGCTAAGAGGGTGTTGCGCTACTTGTGCAGTACGTCGAGCATGGGGCTAGTGCTTGGAGGGCGAGTCCCAGTTGTTTTCACTGGGCACTCAGACGCTTCTTGGGCAGACGACCAGGCTACTCAGCGGTCGTCTCAGGGTTACTCCTACAGTCTTGGCTCTGGTTCAGTTTCTTGGCGTTCTACTCGCTCTTCTTCTGTTCTCAGCTCCAATTGTGAGGCTGAGATCCATGCCACAGCCATGGCGGCTCAGGAGCTACGCTGGCTCACCTACTTGCTGACCGACCTTTGAGAGCAGCCTTGTTCTCCTCCAGTGCTGTACGTCGACAACAAGGCAGCCATTGCCTTGTGTCAGGAGCACAGACTGGAGCACAGAACGAAGCACATTGCTCTGTGCTACTTCCTTGCTCGAGAGCTGCAGCAACGTGGTCAGCTTCGCCTGCGTTACGTTGCCTCTGAGGCCAACACTGCTGATTTGTTCACCAATGCGCTTCAGCCTTGTGACCATCAGCCCTTTTGCACTCTTCTAGGCCTTGTGCCTACTGTACCTCACTTGCTTACTTCTTGAGTCTGTTTGTACTGTGATCTCTATATATGTATACCTGCATGTTTACTCTTGCTAGGTTGTGATCATTGTACCTCTTGTTCTATTATAAACCTGCATGTGAACTGGTCTTGCGACCACTTGCTTGTGCTCGGAATTTGTGTGGTATCCTTGAGATCCACCCTGAGCTTGTTTTGCCTTGCTTTGCCTTGACTGGTCTTGTGACCCCTAGTTCTCCCCCACTTCGCCTATGGGGGTGTGTCAAACATTATATATGTTGTTGTGTTTGTTTAGGCTACAGTGGGTTAGTCTATAGGGGGTACACAATTCTAGGGTTAAGTACTTGTACTGTTTTCACTGCTAGTTCATCCATTCCTATTCAGTTTTTCCAACACCCCCCACTCATCATTCCCAAAGAGCGCTGCTCCCCACACTTCGTCGCGCAGCCCCATTTTTACTATCAGCGAGCTCACTCTGCGTTGCGCCACGCCGTTCCCGGTCTTCTTTTCGGTCGACGACCCGGTTTTCTGTTTCTTGTTGGCGCGAGTCTCACGCAGCACAGCCAGACCGTTGGTGAACTCCGTGAAGATGCATAAGAGGCGCACATCGTCGCGACGCTTAACACCCGCTGCGGTCGCCGCCTCTGAACTGTCTTCTCTGAATGTCTCTACGGCTTCCATGACAAGCTGCACGCGACGCATCTTCCGCTCACATGCAGACTCGGACATCTGGGGCACACCTTTAGGTGCAAAACGGGCATATGCGGTGGAGAAGCTATTGTTCTTGTTTGGATCCTGGTTGAACTTTGCAAAGACATCGCTCACAGACTTGCCGCCCATGACGTAGATTGAGTGCACCCACAGTTTCCACGCAGCCGCGATAGTCTAAATCCGCGCCAAGGCACAACGACCACGACAAAGAACTCTTCGACCGCAACTGGTCCTTTTGGTGCGTCCGTTGACTGACTTGGACCTACCCTAGCGCCCTTCGACGATCCGTCGACCTCTGCAGGGTTGTCTGCAGTGGCTTTCCTGGCCTCAACCAACCTCTTGTATGCTTCGAAATCTTCAATGACCCGAGCCTTGTCCTCTCGCTTAGCATCGCGTTCCTCCCTCAGTTGTTGGTTCTCCAACACCAACTGCGTTTCCCGTCCCTTCGACCTACCAAGATCCTCCCTGAGTTCATTGGTAATGAGGTGCATCTTCTGCAGCTTTTCCTCGGCGGTCGTGTGGAAAATAGGATCCTGCAGAAACACACTCGTCAGAACTCTCCGTAAATGGATAACTCTCTCTTCCACTAAAAGCAGACACTTACTGCTTTGGCGGTTGTTTGGCTGGTTTTCCGAAGCTTCTCGCCCTTGAAGTGATAGCTAGCGACCAGGTACGCCCACTTTTGGAACAATGGGGGCTTGCACAAGGGGATCATCTACACGTATGGATGCTGCTCGCAATTGCACCGCGGGATTTTCATGCCGTGATGATGGCAGAACACCCACATCATAGCCAGATCGTGTGCAACAACGAAGCGTCCGATGGTCGCGAGGGTCTCGAGGAACATAAACCCCGCATAGTGCCTCTTCAGCTCGTAGGTCTGAGCATCGTTCCACGCCTCCACCTGAGGGGACGAGTGGGCAGTAGAAATGCGATGGTAAATAAATGCGTATACAGTTCCATATTGGAACGCGCAGATTCTTACCCTCGCACGTACCTTCTTCCACCCCTCCTCGACCCAGGGGAAGATGTTCTGCCTCATGAGATCTAGCAGCTGCAACCACTCATCTTTCTCTTTATCCTCGTGGCGCGGAAGCTTAGCGCGGGCTCTGCCGATGTAGTAGTCTCCACGATCCCCGCTGAATCCAGCCAGAAGCCAAACCGGCTTGAACGGAATGCCAAACATATATGACCTCCATATCTCGCCCACCTCCCATCCGCCCAGAGTGGCGATATTGTTGTCGGAGCAACCGTCGTCATGGAGTTGTTGCGCACCAGATCTGCGGAACGCATGTATCACCTTGCTCAGGATCCATTTTGCCTTGTCGATGGCCCACTTAATCCAAGTGCAGTGCGTTTTGTAGTGCATCTCGTCTTGCTTCTGCTTTCCCTTATCCTTCTTCTGCTTCAAGCAAAAGAAGAGGTGCGCTTTAGTCCACTTGAGCGGTTCGGAAAAGTCGAGAGGCTCGACGATACCGGGGCCGTATCGCAGAGGAACGAGGTCGTAGATGAAATGAAGCCAGAGGAAAACATGGCCCATTCCGCAAAGCCGCAAGTCCCTATGCCTTGCAAGAAACTGGTGACTCAGCTTGTTGGTGAGGTTGGTCTTCGATTTCCTAGAGACGACAACGAGTAAAAAGACGTCCAGATCATCGTCGAGGTGTGTGGTGCTCCGCGTCATGCGGACAAACATGTTCGGAAGGCGAATCTTTTGAATGTTGCACCCTCTTCCCAGAGATTGGTGTCCAAGGTGCATCATAACCGGCGTCTACAGAGCCTTCAAGAGAGGAAGCGAGATTTGTGCTGGAGGCAACCGCCACCAGATTTGTAGGAGCTCTCTTCGCAGAACGGTGTGATGTAGGGTCCTATAATCGGTTGCCGTATAGCAATCGCCAATTGATCCGCGGGTTTGATCTCGATCATCTCTGCATCAAAGAACGCAATACTTAGGTACGAAATGTAGAAAAGGAATTACACAAGCAGAAAGCACACCACTAAGTTACTCACGCGACTTGTTTTTGGTTCAGCTCCTTCAGCTTCACTTTCAGAAAATCCCGAGCCTCCTTGATCCAGTCCTTGGTCAGTGTGATGGAGAAGTCGTAGAGCCTTGCCTCGCATTTGGCAAGGCATCCCATCGCGTTCATCTTTGCCTTGATCATGGAAGGCGTGCACCCCTTGGCCTCCTTCCCCACCCACTTCTCAACGTCTGGCCATATTTTACTACGCAATAGCTTAGCGTGGTTTTCTGTTTCACAGAAGAGGAACTCGATGTATTGGCCTAGCCTCCAGTTTGTGACTCGCGGCCCGTGCAGATGAATCTCCCAATGGTTAGAGCTGTTCGACCACCGATCATTTCCCAAGTCATTGTTCAGATGAAACCCAACCTCGTCGTGCAGAGAGGGAGCCAGCCTATCGAACTCAGGGACATCCACCGTCGTTGCCATGAAGATTAACACCCACCACTTGAAGTGGAGAAAGTGGAAGCAATAGTGCCTTCTCGAGTCTTCCTCTATTAGTCGAAAAGGGATTGTTGAACGCTCCATCCTGCTCGCATTTTCCGCAACGCCTTCTTGCCGCTGCTCATTTTCTGCCGCCGCACCCTGCTCGACGTGGCTCGCAGCGGAGCGTCCTCGTCTCGATGATCCTCCCTCTTCTTCACTGTCAGAGTGATCTCCATCCTCCTCGTAAGCTTCTTCGGCCTCACCGGGTCATCGGCGCACTTCACCGACTTCCGGTCCTTCACCCCCTTCACTCCCTTCAGCTTCCTCAATCACGATGGTCGGTGCGTAGGGATGACCTTCAAACAAATCATCCTCGGTCGTGTCAAACTCGAAATCGTTCTCGCGATCCCCTGCGTAATCTTCTACGGTATTTTCTTCGCCGTCTAGGTCCTCTTCTTCACCCTCTGCGTCCTGAGCAGACACTGGGCGAGGCTGGACCGTTGCGTCGGCCATTGGCAGATGCCTATTTTATATGCAAAGCACCCAGTCTAGACCAAAAAAAATGGGAGGTCAGAAAAAGGAGGTGGAAAGGATTCGCGGGTATGCAGAGAAATTAGGCAGAATGCATATTGGGCTAAGCGCAGAAGTCGTCTCTTATTCGGACGTTTGCACATTGGTCTACGAATGCCGACTATTCTACCGTACTATGAAATCTATCTACGCCTACAACTTGCGTATAGTTCGGCACCCTTTTGTTCTACCGCTATAATTTTCTACAATCAATCACCGAAAACAAGTTCCGAGTATTCTGCCGATCCAGTTCTCTACGACAACCTTATGCTTGAACATGAACTTCCTAAGGTCTACAATAGAATGGATCGAGACCGAATACTTCTACGGATGTAAATCACCGCGACTAACCTCTGCAGCTACCTAACCAGACGACATACGACAAAGATATAGGTCGACAGCCTAAAGTTCTGCCGATCAAATATGCTCAACCGCATACATATGCGCCTACATAAGCGACTGAATATGTCCGACAGATGATATCCTAAACCGGGCTGACAAAAAAAAAAAAAAAAAAAAAAAAAAACGAACCTATACGACCTAACACGCTACGTCGAGGACGCAAGTGTTTTGCTGGAGGCTCCAGCAGGCTTACAAGACTACGCTGGTGCGTAACACGTATTGCTGGATGAAAAGATCTCAAAGAGCTAGCGGACCATGAAAGGCAAATGAAAACGAGCAAATGAGTACAAAACACCCATTCATACCCAAACAGCACACACAAGCCCTTGTCCAGATCTGGTCTGCCAACCCTGGGTAGGAATTCTTTATCAAATGTTATATCTGCTACAGTTTGTTTAGGCTGTAGTGGGGTAGATACTATGGGGTATGATAACTTTAGGGTTTACTACTTGTACCCCACACTTGACCTAGTGCAATCACTTCTCATTCTTGACATGGTATCAGAGCCTAGGTTAGAAACCTAGGACCGATTACCTAAGGGCCCACCGTTCCGCAAGAGGTGCCCTCGTGCGCCCTCCTCTCACGCTGCTCGTTTGCAGCCCGCTAGCAGCCCGAGCGCGGCCCCGCGTTTTTAGCGCGAGTAGCTCGTTAGCCGCCTAGGGTGGCCCGATTTTTTTTCTCGCGAGCCCCAGCAGGCCGTCGCCCGTAGGCCCCGCTCGCCCCTAGGTCAACGCTTGACCCATCGCCTCCCGCCCGCAGGTCGGAGCTCGCGCGCAAGGGCGATCGCGCGTCGGCTGCTGCAGCTCGCGCTTAGCCGCCGTACGAACGCAGCCGCGGCCCGCGCGCAGCCGCACCCTAGGCGCCGCCGCGCACCGTGCATAGGCCCGCCGTCGCGCCGCCCTACCTGCCCGATCCGTGCCGCCCGAGTCACACCGCCCTACCTGCCTGAGCCGCGTCGCCCGAGTCGCGCCGCCCGAGTCGCGCCACTCGGACCGAGCCGCGCCGCCTCACCTGCAGCAACTGCTTTTCCTTTTCCAGCTGCTACTGCTACTGCTCTTATTGCTACTACTGCTACTGCTACTGCAACTACTGCTACTGCTACTGCTACTAGTGCTACTGCTGCTATTGCTACTGCTACTGCCACTATGGCTAGTCCTACCGTTCTCACGTTTGACTCTGAGGGCCGTCTGATTAAGTTTGACGTTTGGCTCAATGACCTGCACCTATTCCTCCAGATCACTGTCAAGGACGATGATTCCCTGTTTGACCACACGTCCAGTGCCGCTCCCGCACCTGCTGCTACTGCTGACAGCACTGCTCGCTCACAATGGCAGACCCGTGACGCTCATGCTCGCCTAGCTGTTCGCAGTCACCTACCGTTAGATGAGCGTGAGCACTTTGGCCAGCATAAAACCGCTAAGGAGCTGTACGACGCTGTCATTGCACGCTACTACTCCCCTGCTACTGCTGCGATAGGCCGTCTCTCACTGCCCTATCTCTTCCCCGATCTGTCTGCTTTTGCCACTGTAGCTGACCTCATCACACACCTCCGTAGTAGTGATCTTCGCTACCGTGCCGCGCTTCCCCCCGATTTCCTAGCCAAGAACCCTCCCCCGATGTACTCACACTCTATCAGCTAGTCACCTGCCTCCCTAACTCCCTTCCCACTTTCTTGCCCTCTCCCTACCGACCTCACTGTCGACCTGCTTCAGAAGGAGCTCCTAGCAGCTGAGAAGAGCATTGTAGCTATAGGTGCCTCTCGTGGCGACCCTCGCGCCCCCTTCTTTGAGGGGTGCTCCCCTGTCCCCCTCCTCCCCTCCATTGCATCTGCTGCTGCTGTCAACTACCTTGGTGCTGAGGGTGTCGGGGCTGCGTGTGCTCCTAGTGGGAGGCACAAGGGCGGCAGGGGCAAGGGGGGCAGGGGTGGCGGAGGTGGCGGCGTGGGCGGTGGTGGTGGAGGGGGTGGAGGCGGCGTGGGTGGTGGCGGTGGTGGGAGTGGTGCTGGTGGTGGGGGGGTCAGTGGCGGAACCGGGGGTGGTGGCGGCGGCGGTGGCGGGGGTGGCGGGGGTGGTGGTGGCAGTGGTGGCGGCAGTGGAGCCGGTGGCGGGCGCGGTGGAGCAGTGCAGCGTGGGGGTATCGGAGGTGGCCAGAGACAGCAGCAGCAGCGTCCTAGTGAGACCCCGTCGTCCCAGCAGCTCTGTGAGTGGTACTCTCACCGTGGGGGGTCTGGTGGTGGAGGTGCCTGCGCGTACGTCATCCGCACAGGTGACCGCACTGGCCAGAACTGTGGGAGGTTTCACACGGCGCAGCGCTATTTCTTTTGCCTCGACGACGCCTGGCACGAGCAGTTCCCTGACGCCTTTGAGCTGCCCCGTTGGGCTGATCTGCTTAAGAAGGGAATTGATATATTTGCTCGTGGTTTTGATGCTATCCTTGCTGCTATGTATGCATTGACTATTAGTGTTGAGGGTGACTGCTACCTGAGTGTACCGCCCGACCCGGGTATTGGGACCAGTGAGACTGCCGCTCTAGGTGCTAGTGCGTCTGCTGCCCTAGGTGTTGGTGAGGCTGCTGCTCTAGGTGCTAGTGAGTTTGCTGCTCCAGGTGGTACTGCGTCTACTGAGGCACTGCACACCTTCATACTGGACTCGGGTGCTTCCCGCTGTTTCTTTTGTGATCGTACTGTCCTTGAGCAGCTAGCTTGGCCGGTTGCTGTCTCCCTCGCTGACCCCTCTGGGGGGCTAGTCCTTGCGTCCTCCTCCAGTGTCCTCCCTTGTGCAGCGATTCGGCCGGCACCCTATCGGGTCTTTACCTCCCCTTGTTCTCTACAAACTTGGTGGCGGGCTCTGCTCTCCAGGACGGGGGTGTTCACCAGTTCACCCTTGCCTATGAGCGTGTGACCCACTCTACGTGTGCTCGGACGGGTCGCCACCTGGCTACCTTTACTCTGCAGCCCTGACTCAGAACGTCCTCTGGCACCACCGCCTTGGTCACCCTTCGGTGCAACGCCTTCGTGGCATGCACTCCCGGTACCTTGACTCCGGTCTTCCCAAGGTTCTCCTTCCTCTCCCACTCTCGCCTGCTCCTGCCTGTCTTCCCTGTGTCGAGGGACGGCAGCGCGCCACTCCTCACTCCTCCTCGTTCCCTCCCACAGAGGCTCCTCTGCAGACTCTCCACATGGACGTGTGGGGCCCAGCTCGCGTCCGTGGACAGGGCCATGAGCGGTACTTCCTGCTGGTTGTTGACGACTACACGCGCTACACCACGGTCTTCCCCTTGC